CACACACACACACACACACACACACACACACACACACACACACACACCCCAAATGTCCAGCCACTGATTATAGCTGTGTCCTCTGTAACTACGTGGGGCAATTCTAATCTGTCTTCTACTTACCATTGTTAACTACGTACAACTTCTACATGCAACTTTAATAATTAAAAAAAAATAGAGGCAGGAATGATATTTCTCCTGCCTCAGGCATTATCTTCTCCAGGCTAAATATCCCTCACTACTCCCACCATTCTTTTTATGATTTGACTTTAAGACTCCTTACTAGCCTCTGTAAGATCTTTGAGAGCATACTTTTCTTTGTTTCCCTAATGCTTGCGCATAATAGGTGTTTAATAAATGCTTGTTGATCAATTAATTGAACCTGGATTCTTTCCTTCAGCCTATTGAGATCTTTTCAAATCTTTACTTTGTCATACAGTAGAATAGAGAGCTATCCCAGTTCTATGTACCTACAATTTGATAAGCCTACTTTCAAAATCTTCATCCAAGTCATTGACAAAAATATGACTAAGAAAGGGGCAAGGACAGTGTCTAGTTGCATGCTATTAGCACCATCAATACTGTCATCTCATCTTGGCTGCCTGAGATGGAAATAGTATTTTTTTTTTGCAGAAATGTCATATTGTACGCTCATATCAAGCTTGTACACCACTATAACTTCCATATCGTTTTTACATGTACACAAAACATGGTATTGCCACTACTAGATCTGTATCTCAAAGAGATTAAAAGAAATGGGGGGGAAGAACTTATTTGTACAAAAATACTTATAGCAGCTCTTTTTTGTGGCTAAGAATTGGAAATGCAAGGGATACCAATCAATTGGGGAATGACTGAACAAGATGTGACAACTGATTGTAATGGAATATTATTGTTCTATAAGAATTGAGGAAGAGTATGATTTCAGAAAAATCTGGAAAGACTTATATGAACTGATGCAGAATGAAGTAATCAGAACCAGGAAAACATTGTACACAGTAACAATATTATACGACGAATAACTGAATGACTTAGGTATGCTCAGCAGTACAATGATCCAAGACAATCTGAAAGAATTCATGATAAAAAAATGCTATCTGCCTCCAGTTTTAAGAAGGACCTTGCTCAATACAGACTAAAGTATACTATTTTTCATGTTCTTTCTTTCTTTCATTTTTGGGGGGTTTGAATTTTCTTCCTCAAAATGACTAATATGGAAATACATTTTACATGATTGCACATGTATACCCCTTATCACATTGTTTACCATCTCAGAGGCAGGGAGAAAAGGATATAATTTGGAACTCAAAACTTTTTAAAATGAATGTTAAAATTGTTTTTATATGTAATTGGGATGTTAAATAAACTACTATTTAAATATTTTTGAAAAAAAAACAGTACTGCTTCACAAGAATAATGCATGGAGACTGAGTATGAATGCAAAGGATAGTAAAAAAAGGGGGGGGGAAGAGGACTTCTTTAGTTATGTTGGAGTTATGCAAATTTGACAGATGGAGAAATTGAGGCCCTAAGAAGTAAAATGAGGCAACCACATAGCATGGTGGATATAGCACTGGGCCTGGAGTCTGGAACTCAGGAAAACCTGAGTTCAAATCATTTACTAGCTGTATGGCCCTGGACAAGTCACTTAACCTGATTTGCCTCAGTTTCCTCATCTGTAAAATGAGCTGGAGAAGTAAATGGCAAACCACTCAAATATCTTTGCCAAGAAAACCCTAAATGGGGTCACAAAGAGTCAGACACAAGAGAAATGACTGAACAAATACAACAACAAGTAAAGAGAGGTCTTACACTGAATTGGTAGCAAAGTTAGCTCCAGAACATAGGTCTGCTTCATTGCAGACTTCCTCCTTACCCCTGCTATTTTTTCCCAAACCTGTCACCATTTTGGTCCAAGATTCATTCTGCCTTCCTACTCCAAGTCAGCCATAGCTGTCCTTCCCAGAATACTTTCAATATCCTCCCTTCCCCATTGCTTCCCCCTTCCTCATTGTTTCCTCCAAGTGTTTTGGCCAGACAGTTTGACAAGAACATCTACCTGGGCTCCAGTCCAAGCCTAATCTTTCTCTTCAAATTTAGCCTCACATGGCCAACTACCTACTAAGTATCACTGCTGTAATTTCCAGGCAATACTTCAAATTCATCCTCTTCTCCAGCACCTCCTCTAAACTTTCCGATTGCTGTTAAAAATAGGGTTATCAAGGTTCATAACCCTGGAGTCATCCTTGATTCTTTCTGCTCTCTCACCACCCAAATCTAATCAGTCACTTAGCTAGTAGATTTGACCTCTACAGCATCTGTTGTGTCCATCCCCCTTTCTCCATGCATACCCTAGTTCAAGCCATCATCATCTCTTGGTTATACTAATATAATAGCTTCCTAATTGGTTTCCCTTCCTCCAGTCTCTTCCTCCTTCACCCCATCATACACACAGCTATGAAAATAGTATTCCTAAGGCACAAGCAACTTGCCCAAGATCCCAAAAGTAGTAAATAACAGATCTATGACTCAAACTTGGGTCCTCAGACTACAAATAAATCACTCATTCCATTGAGACTTCCTGCCATCATTTTCTTCCTTTTGTTTTAAAATTAATTTTAATTGTTTATTACATGATTTTCTAATCATCTCCAAACATGATGGACCCATTGTGTTAACTCCGTATGTTTCATTGGAAAAAGAGCAGTCTGACATCTTTTCTTATGTTTCCCTGAGGAAAGGAATGCATTTTCCATACTGCCCAGGTCTTTGAGTAGAACCTCCACAGCATGAAGCAGTGGTAGCCAATTTCAAAATGTTAGTTATATCCCTTTGCCCGATCTAGTCTGAGGCCATAATTTAATTCTGATCTGCCTATATAGCCTTCTTCCACATGATTCACTTTCATGTATTCTACATGTTCAGAGAGAACAAGCACCTCTAATGTGAGATCTTGCCAAGCCCTTTTCAGGGTTGCTCATCCACTTTTGGTGTCCACCTGCCACCCAACTTTCACCTGGGGCTCTAAGAAGCTGTAGCATGTGCAGAGGCCACACGCTGATAAAAACTATCTAGGCAGATGGACTAAACCAAGTTGAGGGTAACTGACAGGTCTCAAACCATCAGTGAGTTATGGAGACATCTACCTCAAGCATGTGAAGACTTCCCCCAGTGGAAGAGGTGGATGAAAAGAATTAATTTCCAATGGCAGTGAAGAGAGCTGAAGGGGTTTGTGGAGTACTTAGAAGTTGGGCAGACATCCAAGAAGCCATGGTCATCCACTGCATCCTCAGCCATCACCAGTCTTCTTGACTTGTCTTGCCACTAGACTTTGGTGACTCTGGAAGAGAGAGTGAGGTTGACAACTTTGTGCAACTCTGCCTCACTTAAATCCAATTCACCTATGAGTCAAGACATCACCCCGTGATGTCATTAGTCATCTTCGAAAATGAAGGATGAACAACAGCAATATTCCAGCCAAACTATCCAAATCACTGTTCCCTAAACACATCAACCTATTGCCTGTCTCCATGTCTTTTTCTTAAATTAACTCCCTCTTCACCCCTGCCTCCCAGAAGCCTCACATCCTTAAAGACTTAGATTAATCTCTGATTCACTAGCAATTTCTTGGTCAGTTAGGAAAAAAAGGCATCTGACAAATTGGAGGATGTCAGACAGAGCAAGCGTTTGGGAAATCAAGAGAACCCTACTGAGAGTATTTTTCCTTAGGAAAAAAATGGCCAAGAGCTAGCAAAATCTCTGAGATGTATGACAGAAGATCTGGCTGTACCAGAGTTAGCAAAGATAGATTGTACTAAAGTCATTGGGCGGGTGCCAAGTAAGACAGTGGGCATCACATTTACTCCACGGAGTCAAGAGGTCATAGACACTCTGGTTCCCATGTAGGGCCTTGTTAAAGAAGTAATAGTCACGTGATGGACCCAAATATGACATGAGAACTGTAGGGCAAGTGTAGATTGCTAGTTAAAGTTAGTAGAGAGATAAGGAAACATGTAAGCCAAATCAGGAGGTGAAAAATTGCTACAAGTGACAAATTAGTAAGGAACTAGACTATTCATTTCTTCATCCATTAAACAAAATGTATTAAACTACTTTTGTGTACAGAGAGCTCTGTTAGGTCCTAGAGGAGATACAAAGTTGAGATGAGACACAGTCTCCACCCTTGGGGTTTCCAAGCTCAGCCCCTCCTTCCCTCTTACCTGGACTAGTACTACAAAAGCCTCCTAACTGGTCACCTGCTTTCGGTCTCTCTTCTCTCCAATTTGTCTTCAACACAGTTACTACATTAATGCTAGTAAAGCAGGCATCTGGGCAGTTCGCTGCCGTGCCAAAGAAGTTGTAGCAGCTCTCTATTTCCTTAAATTTGTAAGTCTCTTCTGCTTAACATTTAAAATCTTTCCCAATTTCTCTCCAACTTACCTTTCCCAACTCACTTTCTCTTTTATCTTTTTTCAAAATTTTCTCTATTTTTTGTAACATTTTGATTTCTAAGCTCTCTCCCTCCCTACACACACACACACACACACACACACACACACACACACACACAAAACCATCAATATATACTTTCATTAAAAGTTCTCTCTGGAGGTAGACAACATTTTGCTTCATAGGTCCTTCCAGAGTAACCAAAATCTAGTGGCAAGACAAGTCAAGATGACTGGCCATGGCTGAGGATGTAGTGGATAACTTGATTTGAATATTCATCTTGCTCAGAATAGTTTAGTCATTCACAGTTACTCTCTGAATAATATTGCTGTTACTTTATACAATGTTCTCTTAGTTCTACTCACTTCACTGTTTATTATTTCATGAAAGCCCAGGTTTTTCTAAAGTCAACCAGCTCATCATTTCTTGTAACACAGGAGTGTTCAATCACAGTTATATACCACAACTTGTTTAGTCATTCCCCAATTGATGGGCATCCCTCAGTTTCCAGTTTGCCACCACAAAGAGATTTCCT